ATATTATATATTACATTATATTATAAACCCACTGGCATCGCATCAATTCTCACTCATGGTGACCTCCTGTGTTGCCAAGTGTAACTGCTACTATAGGATTTCTGGGTTGTAATCTTTCCAGAAGCAGATGGCTAGGCCCTTCCATGGCATTGCCTGTAGGATGAGTTGGAACCGCCAACCTTTAGGTACAAACTGTCTGTGTCAATCACAAGATAGAGGCTCAATAGATGGAAAGGAGGAGGGTGCAACCTCCATTGGGTCTGCCATCCAGTGTTGGTTTAGGTTGGACCTTCCTGATTAATATTATATTAATTATATTATATTTATTATTAATTCTATTCTATTCTATTTGTTATATTATGTTTGTTATATTTGTTACATTATATTTGTTATATTATGATATATTAACAATATTGGTTTTGTTGTTAGATGGTTTTCATTGACCCTAACTCATAGCACCTCTATGTACCACACAAAGAAACCGTGTCTCCCCCAGTACCATCCTCTCAGTCTCAGTGTTTAAGCTCATTGTTGTAGTCAGAACACAAATCTATCTCTTTGGAGGCCTTTGCTCCTTTGCAGTACCTCTGCTTTTCCCAGGCATGTTATATTATTCATGTAAAGCTTTTCTACCTAATAGGTAGCTATAGGGTGGTGGCATGTACAGTGTATGGAAATCTAGACCTGATTTCTCAAGGTATTGCTACTAAATAGTTGTGTGTCCCCAGGCAAATTTCTTTACCTCACTTACCTCATCTGTGCCATGGGTTGTGATTGTGTTAGATAGCTTCCTAGGGTCCTTTGACTTCAAAGTTATGATAATAACAATCACTCTTACTGTATGGCTAGTACTGGTCTAAGGGCTTTGTATAGATTAACATAGCACAACAACCCTATGAGGTAAGTACTACTATAATAATATTATTATTCTTCCCATTTTACTTTGGAAGAAACTGAGGCACAGAGAGGTTGATTTGCTCAGGGTCTCACAACTAGGAAATGAATCTTCCGTACAGCTCTTATCCTCTAACCTGTTAGGTTTTTTCCTTTATTTGGGCTTGTGTGTTGCCTCTGTGGCTGGAGGGAATGGGTAGTGGGCTGTCAACATTTTTTGAAAGGTAAGCTGAACTCTACAGTGGCCACACAGGATCTCTGCCTGGGAGCTTGATAGCAGGGCCTACAAAGGCTGCTGACATTTGTGATTTCTCTTTCTCTTTCTCCTTCTAGTCTGTGGCAAGCGCTACAAGAACCGACCGGGACTCAGCTACCACTACGCCCACACTCACCTGGCCAGTGAGGAAGGGGACGAAGCCCAAGATCAGGAGACCCGCTCCCCACCTAACCACAGAAATGAGAACCATAGACGTGAGTTCCCAGTTGTTAGCCTGGAACAGTGCTGAAGGGGGCAAAAGATTTTCATATATTTTGATGGCAAAAGCTGTCAATATCTTCTAGTCAGCGGTTCCATTGGTCAGCTGGGCAGGAGTCATACACCCAGCTTTGTGACCAGAGGAAAGAAGGTAAGTGAGTGTTACGGCCAGTGCCAGATGCCAGACCCAGTGCCGTTTTCTGTCAGATCCAGAAGACCTGTTCACAATTGCCAACCTGTACTGGATCAAAGCCTTTGGGTAGGCCAATGAGAACAGACATTCCACTTATCTCCTTGACCTTAAGATTTTTAAGAGAATATTCCTAATCTATTGCCCAGCTTGAGCATATTGTTGTTATAAGGTGCTGTCGAGTTGAGTACTAGTCATAGTGACCCTATGAACAATAGATCTGAGATCTCTGACACACTTGAGCCCATTATTCCAATCACCACTGTATCAATCCATCTCACTGAGGGTCTTCCTCTCTTTCGCTAACCCCAACGTCTACCCTGCAGTCCCCTTATGGCAGGACCATCTTTAAACTTTATTAACTTGCAGAGTTTAAGACTTTAGTGTGACCAACCCTTGTGTTCTTATCTACTCTTGTCATCTAGACAGAACCTGAAAAGCTGGGGCAGGAGGTATCCTGACAGAGCTTTGCCCACCTTCACTCCTGTGCAGCTGTTAATACTACGTGTCCCCGTCAACTCTCTGTGAAGAAGTTCCCTTGTTTTAGTCATTTTCACCTTTCAGGAATAAAAGTCAATTGATCTTTTTTGAAGCAGCTGGCATTTGCCTTTCCCTGTCCCCTTCTTTGCCTACAGAAAGAACGGTGAGAAGTGGCCAAGGGATAGCTGTTGTCCCTGCGCTGTGGAGGCTGAGAATATTCTCCCTCGACTCTGGAAAATCTGCAAAGTGTTTAGGAGAGACTGTTACTCTCTCTCAAGTATCAATTACCTATTACTCATTGCTCTCAAGTTGACTCCAACTCATGGAAACCCCCTGGGTTCAGATTAGAGTTTTCTTGGCTGTAATTTTTTTGCAGAGAAGGAGAGAAAGGAACCTTGGTGGTGGTGTGCGTTATGCACTGCTAATCAAAATGTTGAAGGTTTGAATCCACCAGCTGCTCTGTGGGAGAAAGCTGGGCTTGTTTCCTCCTGTAAGATTTACAGCCGTGGAAACCCAATGGAGGGTCACTATGAGTTGGAAATGGACCTAACAGGCGTGAGTTTGGTTTTAATATTTAGCAGATCATCAGGCCTCTCATCCAAGGGTTTAATCCACCAGTTTGTAAGTTAACATCATAAGCCACTTGTGACCCCTACAGACTTTAAAGGATCTACTAGCTTGGCATTGCTTCTCACTTCCCCTGGCATAGGCTTATATTTTTGACATCCCTTCTCTGATGTTAACCAGTTTATGCTATGAGGTAGTAATTCACTCACACTTGAGTTTTTACCATGCTTCTCTCTCCTTGGCTTGTGTCTCTCTGTGTGTCTCATTTCTCTTGGTTTCCTTACAACCTCATGCAAACCCTTGTGTGTGTGTTTATTTATGGAGATGCCAACAGCAGAGGAAGATTTCTCATGGCATCCCAGGAGCAGTTGCTCCAGACCTTAAGTTGTTGTTGTTATGTGCTGTCGAGTTGGAACCAACCCATAGTTGACCCTCTAGAGGGTTTTCAGAGGTAGTTAACTGCACAGAAAGAAATTACCTATCCTTCTCCTGCACAACAGCTGGTAGATTTGAACTGCTTGCCTTTGGGATTGCAGTGCAACTTCTTACCAGTGGACTTCTAGGCCACCAGAGTTCCCTCCAGGCTTTAAGAGGAATGAGGCAATTTCCTCCTTGGGTATCCCTCAGATTTCTTCTAGGTTGGCGGTTGACCTTGATGACCAGGACACGTTTTCTGCCCTTCCCCACAACCTCTTTGGTTGATGCCTTTTACCTCCCAGCTGTTCTGCCCTGTAGCCTTGCTTGGTGGAGAAGCATGGCTTTCCCCTGCCCTCAAGGGTGGCGGGGGGAGCTGCCTCCTCATCCCTGGTCCTCTGCAGCATCCTTACTGCTGCCCACTCCACCCCTCCTCTCCTCCCGCTGCTGGTGAGAAAGGGGTTCCTCAAGGAGGGTCATCTGGCTGTCTGAGGGCTTTCAACTTGATGGATCTGGGGCCTCCTCACAGGGAGAAGCCTCTAGAGTGTTTACAAACACATTTTTAGTAACATCCCTCCACAGCATTCCCTCAGAAAGTTTAGCTGGCTCCATTCTGTTTGTGGGGAGTGTGTTACAGAAAGACCCTTAATATCTCTGAGTGCTCCCCTCCCCCGTTTCTTTGGACAAATCCAAGAGATTTAACTCCTTCCGTGTCCTCTCATGTACACCACCGCTACCACCACCACCACCACCTCTGCCACCGCCACTGCCACTGGCATCACCACCTTCACCACCCATGTGTTTGCTGCTCCGAGCTGTGCTCCGTCCCGCCCACATTCCCCTGGCTAGCAGTCCCCAGCCATCTTCTCAGGAGCACTAATTGCCAGCATCATTAATACCCAGTCATTAGCTGCTCCCACAGTTTGTGGAGGGGGGAGCTCCCATCCATCCTGCCCCTAAATGCCACTGAGCCTGTGTGCTGAATTGAACGTGACAGCTCTGCCACATCTGAAGAAGGTCTCGCCTTCCAGAGCCTTCTTCAGCAGGGCTTTCTGAGTGGGGGAGGGAAGCAGGAGTGCTTAATCCAAGAGGCTAATCTGCAGTGCCCCCAGGAGAAGGGGGAAGGCCTGGGCTCTCGTGGAGGGGGCAGCTCCCCCTCCCCCTTTCAGCAGAGCAGCGGGGTGACCTGAGCTGCCTGTCAGCAGGATCTAATGCAGAAACAGACCTGGCAGGCCCACGGCCAGCTGGGGTCACTCCACCGGCAGCACTAAGTGACCTTTTGACTTTGGTCTTCCTGCTGCCCCTTGCTCGGTCCCTCAGCTGTGTCCCTGAGCTGCCCACTGCTCATCTCTGTGCCTACTGCTGTTAAAAGGGCACTCAGAGAGCTGGCCCTCCCCTCCCCTCCCCACTGCCCTGGTGTTGCCGGCTCAGCAGCACTTACTTCCATGTTGCATTCCCGGCCCCTCCCGGCTGCCTTTGTTTTTCCCTGGTTTCTCAAGGTCTCCTCCTACATGTTTCTCATGTCTCCTTAGTTTTGTCCCTTTTCCCTCTGTGTCCTTGCCTCTCTGCCTCAACTACAGGCATCCAGGGACACTTGAAGCTTACATACGCCCCTTGGGGAAAGAGTTCTTTTTGGACGAGTATGCGCGGTAGAACTTCTGTCTTTCCCCTCCCTGTGTGGGAAGGGATTCTTCTTCCTTCTTCCCCTATCTCCTACCACCATTGTTCAGTTTCTCTGATTTTGTGGAAATGCATATGCACACTCCCACCTCCCCCCATACATTTAGATGAATAAAATGAGGGAGGGCTTAGGCACATTAGGACTCTGGGAGAGAAGGCTCACTTAGAAGCCTGCATTGTAACTCCTAAAATACAATGGTGCACGGTTCCGGTGGTGCCAGCAGAAAAGGCATTGGATTAAAATGCAAAAGCTCTTTGACACAAACTCGCAATGTCAAAATCCTTCTTGAATACCTTATTCACCATCTCTGCACAGTGGAAATCTATGATAAATGATGTGTTCACAGCATTTTTTCGGGGAGGGGGATGTGGAAGTGGAGGGTGGTAGCAGGCATCTATGAAGTCTTGGGCTGGGAAGAAAAAGCTGTGTAAATAAATTCAGTTTAGCACATTCATCTGTCTACCCGCTCATATATCTACCTCAGTTTAACCACCATTAATGGAATACTGTCTATAGGCTAGATATGGGAAATATTGACATGAAGAAGACTTAGTTCTGTCCTTAGGGTGCTCATAGTCTAGGAGGATAAAGGTACATGTAAAGAACCAGCTAGAGAAGGATGCTGTGAGTGCCATAGAAGTATTATCTTAGCTACTCCAGCCTTCAATATGGATTGAAGTTCAACATCAAGAAAACAAAGATTCTCATTACTAGACCAATTGGCAGCATCATGATAGACAATGAAGAGATTGATTTGTTCACAGTTTTAGTTTGCTTGGCTCCACAATCAACACTTTTGGTACCAGCATCCAGGAAATCAAAAGACAAACTGCTTCGGGAAAGTCTGCTGTCAGGGGTCTCTCCAGAGTACTGAAGAGCAATGACATCAATCTGGAGACTAAGGGGCGCCTGATCCAGGTCATAGTCGTCTCAATTGCTTGCTGTGTGTCAGAGAGCTGGCCAATGACTAGGGATGATAGAAAGAGAATTGATGTCTTTGAGATGTTGCTGGAAAAGATTGTTGAATATACCATGGACTTACAGGAGAACAAACAGGTTTGTCCTGGAGAGGGTAAAACCAGGCTGCTCCTTGGAGGCAAGGATTCTGAAGCTTCATCTGACATACTTTGGGCATGTTGCAAGGAGGGATCAGTCCTTGGAGAGGGACATAATGTTTGGAAGGGTGGAAGAAAAAAGAAAGAGAGGAAGACCATCAATGAGATGGATTGATTCAATGACTGGGGTTAGGTGTGTCAGAGATAGTAAAGTTGACACAGGATAAAGCAGGTTTCAGGGCTGTTGTATCACAAGTAACTCAACAGCATATAACAGCAACAATACTGCTGCTGTAACAAAAACATCACAAGAGAAGGGCTTGAACCAATAAATTAACTTTCTCATCTTTTAGGAGGCTAGCAGCCCAAATTTAGGGTATTGGTCCTAGGGTATGACTTGTTCTCTCTTGATTTTGGGGGGAGGCCCTTCTTCCTTGTGTTCTTGGTGGTCTTCATGTGTCACAGCCTCTTCCTTCTGCTGTTTCCTAGCTTGTATTTCATCTCTTTTGTAACTTCAGAAACAGTGATTCAAGAGAGATACTACACTAACCTTATTTCATCAACATAAAATAAGACAACCCACTCCCAAATAGGCATGTTTTTGTTGTG